GGTAAAGTCTACACAAACCCTCCATTTGCCGTTCTTCTTCTTCACCCCTACTGTGTTGGACAGCCATGTTGGGTAGTGAACTTATCGGATGGCCCTAGCCTCTAGAAGTCTATCTACTTCTTCTTCTACTGCTTCGACGTGCATCAACGTCGGTCTTCTGGCTCGTTGAATTACAGGTTTTGCCGACCTGTCGACATTCAGTCTGTGGCAAGTGACCTCGGGGTCAATGCCAGGCATTTCGTAAGGTGTCCAGGCGAAAACCTCAATGTTGGCTCTCAAAAAATCTTCCAGTTCTCTTTCCTCTTCTTCGGCTAAGCCTGAGCTAAGAAGAAAGAAGCGTTCTTCGTCGCCCTCCTGGACAAAGATTTTCTTTAGTGTCTCTTTACAATTTTCGGTTGGCTCCTTGCCGACATCTTCTTAGACCTCCATGTCCTCGTCTTCAATCTCTGCTTCTTTTGGCTCTCGAATGCTGCAAGTAAACTTCATTGCTGCCATGGAGCAACTTTTTGCTTGCAGTTGATCTCCTCTAACTTCTTCAATCCCATGTTCTGTTGGGAACCGCAATAGTTGATGCAACGTTGAGGGAACTGCCCTCATTGCATGCAACCATGGCCTTCCCAAGATGATGTTATATGGCGAGGGTGTGTCAATTACCATAAATTCTGTCTTGATCTTTTTAGTACCAGCTTGTACTTCCACGCTTGCTGCGCCTAGTGGCCACGTCGGCGTTCCATTGAAGCCGACCATCGGGTTGCTGGATTGTTCCAAGTCGTCAAGATGAAGGCCCAGCTCCTTGTAACATCTGACATACATGATGTCACAAGAGCTGCCTTGATCTATCAGGATGCGTTTCACTTGGCATTCCCCAACCTGGAGGGATACTACCAAGCCATCATTATGCGGATGCTGGACCATCTCTAGATCGGCTTCAGTAAAAGTTATCATTGGTCCTTGGCATTCTTCAGGCCGAGGTCTCTTGTATACGACCTGGTTTACGTGCTGCAGGTGTTTTACTCTTTGGGTTTCTCCCCGAATGTCGTTTTCGTTCACCTTTGAGTGCTTCGGGGCAGGCTTTGTTGAGGCTGGTAAAGTCTACACAAACCCTCCATTTGCCGTTCTTCTTCTTCACCCCTACTGTGTTGGACAGCCATGTTGGGTAGTGAACTTATCGGATGGCCCTAGCCTCCAGAAGTCTATCTACTTCTTCTTCTACTGCTTCGACGTGCATCAACGTCGGTCTTCTGGCTCGTTGAATTACAGGTTTTGCCGACCTGTCGACATTCAGTCTGTGGCAAGTGACCTCGGGGTCAATGCCAGGCATCTCGTAAGGCGTCCAAGCAAACACCTCAATATTTGCTCTTAGGAAAGCTTCCAGCTCTTTTTCCTCTTCTTCGGCTAAGCCCGAGCCGAGAAGAAAGAAGCGTTCTTCATCCTCCTCTTGGACGAGGATTTTCCTCAGTGCTTCTTCACTCTTCTCGGCTGGCTCCTTGCCGACATCCTCTACTAGGACCTCTATGTCCTCGGATTCGATCTCTGCCTTCTCTGGTTCTCGAATGCTACAGGTGGATTTTATTACTACCATGGAGTAATTTTTTGCCTGCAGTTGATCTTCTCTAATTTCTTCAATCCCATGCTCTGTTGGGAACAGCAATAGTTGATGCAACGTTGAGAAAACTACCCCCATTGCATGCAACCATGGCCTTCCCAAGATGATGTTATATGGCGAGGGTGTGTCAATTACCATAAATTCTGTCTTGATCTTTTTAGTACCAGCTTGTACTTCCACGCTTGCTGCGTCCAGTGGCCACGTCGGCGTTCCATTGAAGCCGACCATCGGGTTGCTGGATTGTTCCAGGTCGCCAAGATGAAGGCCCAGCTCCTTGTAACATCTGACATACATGATGTTGCAAGAGCTGCCTTGATCAATCAGGATGCGCTTCACTTGGCATTCCCCAACCTGGAGGGATATTACCAGGGCATCGTTGTGCGGATACTGGACCATCTCTAGGTCAGCTTCAGTGAAGGCTATCACCGGTCCTCGGTACTCCTCATGCTGACTTCTTTTGTGTCCGACCTGGTTCACGTGCTGCAGGTGTTTTACTCTTTGGGTTTCTCCCCGAATGTCGTTTTCGTTCACCTTTGAGTGGATTACATTAACCACCTGTGGTCCTCCTGCCTGTGGTTGCTGTGCTGGGGGAGGCGGTGCTGCTAGTGCTTGAGGCAATCTTGCCTACTCTTCTCTTGCCCTGGCCTCATCGACCAGGTCCCTCAGATGGCCTTGTCTTACCAAGTCTTCTAAGTGTGCTTTTAAGGCTCTGCAACCCTGAGTTGGGTGTCCTTCTTCATTGTGGTAAGCACAGCGCCTACCAATGTTTCTTCCTATAAATTCCCCTGGTGCTCTTGCTGGTGCCCTGAAATAGGGTTGGTTTCGTATTTGATCCAGGACTTTATGGATTGGGATTTAGAACACCGTCGTCACTGCCTATTTACCTCTTAATTCAGTTTCTTGTTTGGTCGGCCCGTTGTTACCTCGGCCTCGCTTCGGCGAGCCGTTTCCCTTCTCCTGCTTTATCTCTTTGTTTCCCGACATATGTTCCTCGGCTCTGGCGTACTTCTTGATTTTCGCCATGAGTTCTTCCATGCTTTTTGGCAATGTTTTTACCAAAGACTTCCGTAGTGGGCAGTCATCTTTCAGGCCGTTCTTGAAAGATACGACAGCCACCTCTTGGTTGCATTCGGGTATTCGATTGAACACCTCGTAGTACCTCTTCGCGTAGGCCCTCAGGCCTTCATCCTTGGTGATTCTTAAAGCCATCAGAGCGTCGACCTTCAAGGGCTGTAGTTTGTTCGTCACAAACCTGGCCACAAACATCTCGGCCAGGCCTTCCCACGTCTTTACGCTTCCCTTCGGTAGTTTATGGAACCAATCGGATGCAATCTCCCCGAAGGATGAGGGGAATACTTTGCAGAGCAACGGCTCGTTCCCACTATATAATGTCATTGAATTCAGGTATAGTTCGACATGAAAGTTGGGATCTGACTTACCATCATAAATTTGGAACCTCGGTATACTGAATCTCTTTGGTGCGTCAAATTTGTCCAGTTCCACCGAGAATGGTGTTCTCGGCTTAACTGGGGAAGTCACCTCGGCTTTAACATTCTGCTGCCTCCTTTTGAGGTAATCCCTCAAGTCTTCTTTATTTCTACCTGGAGCTCGGCTATCTCTAGACTTCAATCTTTTTGGCACACTACTTTCGGTCTCGTGGTGGGCCCGTTTCGATCTTTCTCCATGGGTTGTGTCAAAGCAGAGTGCTTGCCCTTGAACATGCCAATGTTCTCTGGGCCCTGGATCCTTCATGTGATGTGTCCTTCGGGACTCTTCTTGTCTCGGCTTCTCTCGTCCGACTTCCCTGGAAGGTCGGTGAGAGTGCCTTCCACTCCTGGTGTGCTGAGGGGCTTCGGGGATTGCTTTCCTTCCTCCCTTCTGGGTATTAATTGCTGGCATCGGCGTATCTTGCAGCGGGTATGGTGGCTGCATAACATTGTTCTGCATCATGAAGTTGACGACCGACTGAAGGTCTGCTAGCTTGTTTGCCAAGTCTTTTACTTCCTCATCCCTTCGTAGGCACCTATCCCTCCATACCTGAAGGTTATCTTCGTTATAATACTTGCTTTGGTCTGTCCTCTTCAAAGCATCGTTCTCCTGGCCGACGTCTTTCTCTTTGTGGCCCTGGCCACGAGTTTCTGTATTGTGGTTGTCTCCTTTAACGTCAAGATTAATTGGTCTGCCATTCCCAGTAGGAGTGTCGCCCCCAATGTTTTCCCTCTGTCCGTCACTGGCCATCTATTCTTCTAAGTTCCCACATACGGCGCCAAATTGTGTGGGTAATTTTCTGACCACACTGCCCGCCTAGTAATCAGTTGGAGAGCACTGACAGAATAGATGGCATCAGCAAACCTGTAACAGAAAGAAAAGGCTCCGGCGGTGGTTCTTTCACCCGGGGGCACTCCGACGATCAAGTCAGTATATCTCTAAAAAATAATCAAGTGCTAAACTTATTGCTCAAAACATAAATTGCGTACCTTAGACCCACGAGGGTGCCTCTCTTTTATAGCCAACTCAATCCTAATCTCACTAGAAGCCTGACTTCTATGGACTCCAATTCAATACTTACTTTGGACTCTTCAAAGAGATAAAGATAAACTCCCTAAGAGCTTTATCCTTATCTTGGCTAAGTCTTCTCTTTACTCTAGGACTCTTGTCCTTTATCCGCTTATCTCGGATTCCGATATCTTCGGAGATAACATCGGCCTCGCCAAGATAACCTCGGCATAACTTCCTCGACACGTGGCACCTCGGCTGACACGTTGGCGTCACCATGCCACGTGTTGGTACTCAGAAAATATATCCCCACACCTTGTGTTTTTTTGTTTCGAGAGAAAAGAGCTTTACATATTCTTTCATTCTGATAAACTGAATGATAATCGTAATTGATCAGCTACTCAATGTTATACTAGGGAACCACTTATCAAAATGAAATTTATTATATTTTCTTTAAATTCTTGATAGGGTAGACACATTTTTTTTTTTAGTAGTTTTGAAATCTTTGTCAAACTATCAAGAATTTCTTCTACCAATATCTATTCATAATTCATAAAACTACATTTCAGCCAAATTAGACCCCCCAAAAAAATTAACATATACCCCATTAATTTTTTGTTACCGTTATGTATCATAGAAAAAAATAAAACAAGTGACATATAAAACTTGTTTGGTGTAACTTATAATTTATGTTTTTTTCTTATTTATTTAAAAGATTTATTCTAAATATTTGGTTCAATTTTTGTTTATAACTTATCAAACAAAAATTACATAAATTAAACAAACTAATTATTAAGAAACTAAGGAAGATATATTTTTAATTCTTTCTTTTGATCATCAATTTCAATTGGTAAAAACCACACAAAATAGGCCCATAGAATTGCTCAAAAGAAAGGTATATTTTAAATTTTTTCTTTTGATCATCCATTTCAACTGATAAAAACTACACAAAATAGGCCCATAGAATTACTCAAAAGAAAAACATTACAAACAAGAGAAGACTAGAATGTGAGTAATGGAAAAATTAAGTCAACCATAACTAATACTTAAAAATAAAGGGGTCATTGCATTATGTACAAATGTGTGATGTGTAAAAACCAATTTCTTCTCTATACCTACTCTTTTCCCAGCAAGAAACAACCCATCATATAAACCCCCACCACCACCAACACCTTCTACTTTTCCCTTGTTTCCCTCTCCTAATTCAGATTCCTCCCCTAAACACAATTTGAAATGGTGGGATGGAGTGGCCCCCACATCTCCCATCTAATAATGTGTCTACCCTATTCAACCAACCAAACCCCAACAATACCAAGCTACTATCACCAAACACCTCCTAATAAATTTTCTTGATATGCACACAATTACCAAACTCCAAAGCAAAGTATATGCCACAAGGGTGGAAACATATCCCCCCAAACAAATTGTTGCCTATGAGACGGTATCTGGTGTTACAAAAACATCACGGTTATACTAAAATTCTTGACCCACATGATATTCTTTCAAGAATATGATTTAATCAATCCCAAATTGTATAGATTCCTTCTCACTAGGCTCCCAAGTGACAACAACATAGCCCCACCGCCGCCGGCCCCAACTGTGGGCTCATCCCTTTCCCCCTTTTGATGATATATCAATGGCAATTCCTTTACTTTTAATTTACTCATTCCAATTTTCTGTCTAACCGATTCGATGATCTTTGGGTCTGCGGGGCTCCCACTTGCATCCGTTACAGAAAAGACATTTAGAGGGGTTCCGGATGTTGTGGATATCTCCGCCCTTGTCACGTTAAGACCATTTTCGCGGAAGGTTCGTGTTACGTCCGCCAAGAGGCCGCTCCTATCGGCCGTGCACAGCTCTAGCCTCACACCCTGTGATCACAAACTTCTAAATCTTAATACAAAGCATGAAAAATTGAATTGTTTTATTGATAAAGTTAAAGCAAAACGACAATACCTCTGACGCTCTCCTTTCTATGGAAGCCTGTAGGCACAGAATCACCCTTTGCTTTTCAGCTTCTGAACTAATTGGTGTACCATCTGTGTGCCTGATGAAAAATTCCTGAAAAACAAATTAAAAAAAACCCACTTGAATAATCTGTCAAATTTGATTAATTACACAAATTGAAATTATATCAGTGAAAAGGACTATACCATGTACGCTTGGTCCCCAGAGGTGTTGATGGTGGCATGGAAGACAACATATTGCATATCTGTCAATGTGCAAACAACATCAAACAGAAGCTTCGTGCGGTCCTTGCACTGAACGTTTACAACAGAGTAACCCCATTCCAAGCAATTCTGGACCGTGACGAGAGGACAATCAGCATTAGTCCTCATAGTAGGCTTGCGCTCATAATCGCGATCCACAAACATCATTTGGTGAAGTCTTCGTTCGGTGTGTGTGACCTCCATGGAAACCGATGTCTTGGCGCTTCGTATATCATTATCCCCTTTAAGCACATTCTTCAACCGCGATTCGATTATATCGATCTTCTGGGAGTCTTCAATTGGGGAACCCGAATCGCAATCCTTCACATAAATGAGGGAAGCTATTCTTCCATTATGTGTCCACACTTTTGCTTCAACCACATTGCATTGCAAATCAGATAGTACTGCGAAAACCTCCGATAACAGGCCAAGCCTATCTGTTCCGGTTAGTTCTAGCGCTGTCAAACCATCAAAGCATTTCGAGCTCGCGTAATCGAATGTACCAAGTGACTGCAACACGATATCGTTAACAAGTTCAGCACAAACTCAAAATCAATTCACTTCAATTCAATTGAATCGTATAATTTATTTGAATTAATTACCTGTTCAATGTAGTTGATAACGCTCTCGTCGGTTAATTTGTTTCCATTTAGATCAGTCACATGAAAAACTGTAAATGCAGAGAATCATTCAATGTGAATAAATTTGCTAACGTGTGCATAAAAGGGAGGAGAATTTTAGCAGAAAACGCCATGAACATAAACTGTGGTGCTTACCGTCCATGAACCACCTTCCATCGCAAGATATGTACGCTTTCTTAATTGAAAGGTTCAGATCTGAGAGAATTTGAACCACATCTAGAAGAAGTCCATGTTTTCTAGCACTATCAACCTACAAAATTTCAAGAGAATAAAATTAGCGACGATTTTGATTTCAGAGAGCTGATCTGAGTGATAGATTGGAATAGTTTCAGAGAAACTTACCGTGACACGAGTAGCGTTGGCACACGCGGCATTGTCGATCATGACTCTGCCAAAGAAAGAGACGAAGACAAGTCAGAAAGGCATTTGTTGAGTGAGAATGCGAGAAATTGTCGTTAATGGAAGAAAACAGAGGTCTTTCAAAGTCATTTATAGTGTTCTAGAAACAGGAAGAAATTATGGAAGAAAGAGACCAGAGAACCATGAATGAGTCACAGAAACGTGAAATTTACGAAACCAAAGAAAAACAAAATCTCCACTAAAATGGAGAATCTGTCAAATTCAAATTAAATCGAAATTTTTTAAGAAATAAATCTTTTGGAAACGAAAAAGGAACGCAATAAAATTTCAATAATTTTCCGTTAATTTGATTGTAAAATTAATTGCAGACGAAAACAGTTAACAGAAACACTGAAACAGAGTCGATTGAAACCGCGAATTCTATGAGGAATTGCAGACGTCGTTGTATTTGCTTAAAAACGAGAGAGAGAGAGAGAGAGAGAGAGAGAGAGAGAACTGACTTGGGAGTGGTCATCCGAATAACAAGCTTTTCATATTCATCTAAATACGCAGGCCACTCCATCTGCATTTTTGCTTCTTCTTCTGCTAACCCTTCTTTTGGCTTTGATTTCTTCAGGAAGACTTGAATATAAACCCCCTAAAAATCTCTCTCTAGGAAAAGAGAGAGAGAGAGAGACGAGATGTACAAAGAAGTGGCGAAGCACACACAGAGGCTTTGTATGAAACGAGGACAATGCTAGTTAACGCGTTACCACTTACTTCATCGACCGAATCGCCATTAACAATCCTTACCAAACCTCCGTACAGAGACTCACAGACCTCTCTCTCTCTCTCCCTCCCTCCCTCCTCCTCTCTATAAATAGCCTCTCTCTCTCTAGAATCTCGTTTCAGGAAAAGCAAAGCCGCAAAGCACGCCTTGTTCTTGCCTCCTCTTATCTTTCGCTCTTCGCTCCTATTTTTATATTTTTTAAATAATTTAAAAAATGTTGGTGTATTTTTGGATTTTCGAAATCACGGCTGTACGCAAAGGGTGGGAGGTCACATGGCGTGACTAATGTCTAATGCCTGCCCGCACTGCCCTAAAACACGGTCCGAGTGCCTGTTAAAAATTTGTTCAAATTTAATTTATTAATTAAAGGGTCAACTTTTTTTTTTGGCCATCTTTTAGATATGAGTTGATTTTTTAATTATTTTAAAAAGTATTGTTTGGAATAAATTTTTTTAATTTTTTTAAGAAAAAAAATAAAATAATTATGGATTGTATGTGATATTTTATTTTATTTAATTAAAATAATTTATTTTGTCCTATATAATTATTTTAGTCCAAAAATCTCCCCAAACGGACCGCCCTCAGTTGGTATCTTAATTTGAAATAACATTTAAACTTGATAAGTTTATTTTCAGATCAATTTTAATGATTTAAACCGTTAATTTTTTTTTAAATTTATTGTATAAAACATTTGTATAAAAAAATTAAAATGATTGAATATCAGAAACTATATTTTTGAATCATATTTATTTTAAAAAAATAAACCACAAATATAATTTTAAAAATAACTATCTATTTTTTGTATTATAAATTTGATTCAAACATACAACTATCAATATCCAGTCATCTTATTTTTTGCATAAATATTTTACTAAGCTAGTCATAGAAAATGAACAGTTTAGATCAATAAAACGGGACTTACGGTGGAACTCTACGAATCCTTCATTTGTCTAATGTTGAGATCCTAATAGGAAAGAAACTCAATTCTTAATTAAATAAGACAATCTTAAATACATTTTAGAATATATTAAAATTTTCAAGTTAAGTTTGGATAATTAATTATTTATTTGACTCAATTCAATAAACCGTAAACTATATAAAAATACGAAACTCATTGAGTTTGGGTCCACAAACTTATTTTGTTTAGATGGCTTCATTTGGTAGCCTTTTATTTTAATCAAAAAGTTAAAAAATCAATATAAGTTATCACATCACTCTTTTTATTTATTTACACATTTTTTATAAAAAATCAAAAAGTTACTAAAATATTTTATTCCCAAATAAAATCTGACACAAAATTTAAAACTCATTAAAAATTTTAAATCAAACTCAAACACTTAATTTTACAACGAGTTTGGTTTGTTTATCGCCCTAGTCTCACTCTTTCTCTCTATTTATGCTGTGTGTGCATTTTTATACGTCCAGGTAGATTTATTCTAACGCCACGTGTCGTTTGATCCTTGAATGGAGGGTTTGTAGGTCCAGATGGGATGCCACGTCTACAAGAGAATGTACTTTGCGTGCGTTGGACTCAATATGAAAAATGCTTGGCTCCCACTAATTAGGTGGCAGTGGTCTCGTCATTAATGATGTGATATTTTAGTCTTGGAGTTGTATTTTTTTTATTTTTTTTTTACTGCATTAGTGCTATTAGTGGTGATGTTTTTAGTAGGATGAATCATTGTTGGACTCAATATATGGTGGGAGGGAATTTTAAGTGTGAGATAGACTTGATCAACGGAAGAGAAGCTGTCCACGTGGCAGTGTAGGCCTTAGATGGCTTGTTGGTAAAGTTTAGATCTGTCAAGCAAAATTATGAACTTATGACATCCACACGTGATTGAATCACAATTGAGTAGATACCAAGTGTCGCATGTTTTACGTAACAAAATCTAACTTTGGAGGATACGGGTGCTGTGATTTAAGGCGTAACAGTTACTGTTGTGTTTTTTTTTTTTTTTTTTTTTTTTTTTTTTTTTTTTTTTTTTTTTTTTTTTTTTGGAGACCTTTATGAATTTTTTTGATAATTTGAATCGATATATTGTAAGATTCGTTAAGAATGTTATTTTTGTAAAAAATTAAATTAATTAGATATTCATAATCTCATGATTAAATCTCAATTATTTTTAAAAATTTATGAAAGTTATATTAACCGTTAATTTTTATAGAAATAAATGTGTTTTGGTTATAGAGTTACAGATATCCAATCAATTTGATTTTCTATATAAACGATCTACATGATGAATTCTACAATATGAACGATTCATATTGTCAAAAAACACTCAGAAAAACCTCCCTCAATGGACACAACAGTAACTGTTACGCCTTAAAGCATAACAGCACCTCATCTCCGAACTTTGGAGCCATTTGAGAACATAAAAAATAAACAAATAAATAAAAGTTAAATGTTAATTTTCAATTCATTTTGAATCATATCATTTTTTACATAAAAAAAATTAAAAAATTAAAAAAATCAAATTTTAACTATCTTCCCAAAACACCCGTTTTAATAAACTTGTTTGGCATAATTAATGTGAGTGTACTTATTTGATTGAGTTACATCACCTCAACACCTTGAAGCAGCATGCAAAATGTGCACAAAATAGGGGTAGGTCGTTAATGCAAGTAATGTGACAGGCACATGGTTAATGGTTAATATTGACATGTACGGTCAATAGTCAATCCATGCGTTATATTTGTGGGCTCAAGTCAAATTAATATTGACATGGGTTTGTAGGTCGTTAATCAGAAGAAAGTGCACTTAATTGAGTTACATCACCTCAAATTTTAATATTCGCAATGGTCTGTGGTTTGTATATCTGTTCGATTTGCATAAAGCAATCAAACACCCACACCAAGACTGAATTTCTAAGCATTGAAGTCATTGAGAGGTCTTATCCTGATTATGACATCGATAAATCCCAAATTCCCTACTTGCATTACCCGAAGCCTGAAACATTTAGCAGGTTAGTGAGAAATGAATTGTTGATGTTGGTTTTGAATCTGGGACTGATTTGGATTTTGCTAATGTTGTGTTCTGGTTCATTTCAGGGCTGAATGTGGGACCAACCAGGATTGCAATATTTTCACGGGTTTGGGGGTTACTAGTGATTACAAATGTGATGTGAATGTATGTAATATAACAGATACATGGTGTTGTAGCTAATGTTTGTATGATTGGATGTGAATTTTGTAATATTGGGGGCTAATGGAAGGATCTATACCTGAAAGTATTGGTGGAGTTTGGTAATAGTAGGAGGTAGTGGCTGTTAATTGTCGGAGATTGTCAGACTGTGTCGATGTTATGTTATGTGATTGGTGTTTGGTGCTAATGTTATAGGTTGTTAGTGAGAGGCTTAATGGTATGACAATGTGACTCTGGATTGATGTTACGTAGGTAAATGTGAACGATACAGTCCACACGCCTTCCCAAAAAAACGCAAATGATTTAACATCACCAAGTAGGTAACATCAATAATCTCCACAATCACTCCACGAAATCCATTAAAAAAAAAAAGAAATATTAAACCATACCTTATCCATATACACTCAATCTTTAAAAAAATAAATAAAAAACCATTTCCGTTGGTATAAAGATGTTTTCCTGATGAAAGTCATGCAAAGAGCTTACGGTGGTGCTGACCATTGGAAAGCTAAATTCCTGGATGGACTTCCAACTCTCTTTGCTGAACGAGTCCGTAAAAAATTACGGGATCTCCACCGTTCTATAGATATACCATATTACCAGTATACCTATGGCCAACTCATTAGTTTGGTCACTTCTGAAGGACTTGCACTTTGTAATGACCTCAAACTCCAGCAACAATTGAAACACCAGCATATTACAGGAAGAAAGGAGTTAGGAGAATTTTGTGAACAATTTGCTTACGATCCTCCACTTCAGTATCCCCATAAGCAAAGAAAACACAAAAATTATTCCAAACCTTATAAAAAACATAAAAAATACTCCAAACATAAGATTCAGACATAACCTCAGAAAAAATTAAAAAATATACTTATTTAAATCATCCCGTATGAATCCTAGTTATTAATTATTTTAGTAAGTTAAAATAGTTATATTTTAAAAACAGTTAGATTTTTTTATAGTTAGATATGATATTTGTGAGAGAAAAAATAAAATAAATATAAATTTGATGTGATATTTTGTCTTATTGATTATTTTAACTTATTTTATCATTTTGTAAATTTTAGTCAAAAAAAAAAAAAAAACCAAACCCAACTTGCCGAACACCCCCAATGGAAAGTTAGTTATTTTAATCGGCTTTTAATTTTTTTTTGTTATTTTACTTGGTTAAAAAATTTGTGTTTAAAAAGATTGATTAGATAATTGTGAGAAAAAAGATAAAATAATTATCATTTACATGTGACATTTTATTTTTTTATTTTAACTTATTTTATCTTCATTAATTATTTTAGTCCAAAACATTCTTTCCAAACATGGCCAATATCCTGTTTTACCAAAATATATATATATATATATATATATTGGGGAGCAAAATCACAGATATGCTTCACTTCTTCTTCTTTTTTTAATCATATTGTGTGGGTAATTTTCTGACCACACTGCCCGCCTAAGAATCAGTTGGAGAGCACCGGCAGAATAGATGGCTTCAACAAACCTGTAACAGAAAGAAAAGGCTCTGGCGGTGGCTCTTCCACCCGGGGCACTCCGACGATCAAGTCAGTATATCTCTCGAAGATAATCAAGTGCCAAACTCATAAGCTTGAGTATAAAACTGCGTACCTTAGACTCACTGGGTGCCTCTCTTTTATAGTTTACTCAATCCAAGTCCCACTAGAAACCTGACTTCTATGGACTGCAATTCAATACTAACTTTCGACTCTTCAAGAGATAAACTCCCTAAGAGTTTTATCCTTATCTTGGCTGAGTCTTCTATTTACTCTAGGACTCTTGTCCCTTATCCGCTTATCTCGGATTCCGATATCTTCGGAAATCACCTCGGTCTCGCCAAAGATAACCTCGGCATAACTACCACGACACGTGGCACCTCGGCTGACACGTCGACGTTACCATGCCACATGTTGGTATCCAGAAAATATATCCCCACACATATTATATTGTATTTTATAAACAAAATAAATGAAATAACATTTGCACCATT